ATCACAATGCCCAATATTTCAAACAACACCCTGTAGCTAGTAGCTGTAGCTGTTACTAATAGGCACGTCAAAATAATATAGACATACTGATAAAATTTACTAGAAATTAAGTTAAACATAATATATGGTAAAGAAGGTATCCTCCCAAACGAGAAACACAACGAATAATTTAATTTATTAAATGAAATGTTACCTAACTAAATCACAATTGGCCTGTTACAAAGCTAACATCTAATAAAGCAACTCCAATTATTAGTCATACTGCAGCTTTAACCGCCTATTTAGGATCGGTTCATTGAACAAGGGAACAAACAAAGCGGATTCGTGACCGAATGTACCGGAATGTAGGGAAATATTAAAATCGTAATACGAAATAAAATTAGCCACCGTAATGATTAAAAAAAAGGACATTACAGAAATATTTTCAAAACTAAATTTACCCTTTAATATTTTAATAAAGTTTACTTTTTATAATTTTAATATGTTAAGCAAGCCTACCAAGAGCAAACTCTACTCTACAGAACTGCAGGTAGCACCTGCCTTATAAACATGACATGTTCTTTTAGATAGGTTATGATAGGTTGCACATTTTAAATCAAAATAACCTGTACATTTTTACTTTTTTAAATTTCTTATTTACGTATGTCCTGCACTTAAACATGGTTGTTTTGAGATATGTACCATTTTCTGTCATAAATGAACTTTGCAGTATGCAAAATTGCAAATTTGGCACTCAATTCTTTTTATCTTTTGTTTAGTCTCTTGAACTGAATTTTCATTTGCAAATAAAATCGGTTTAGGGAAATAATTAATTTTCATTTGAAAAACAAAAAAATATATAAAAAACTTAATCCATAAAAATTACAAAGTCCACTATCTTAGGTTGTGTGAACTCAATTAACACAAAGTTACCGATAAAGTGCCTAACGTATAATTTAGGTTATCAAAAACAAAGGGTAATACAGAGGTAACAAAATTATTTTTGGGTTGATTTTACTTCTTTTTCAAGCAAATTCCATATTACCAATTTTTAGATTTTACATAATTCGCAAAAGTGAAAAGGAGAGTATTTATGAGACTTACAACTTAGTACCTTACCAATTTTAGATATCTTGGATAACTGAAGATCTAGACCCAGACTTAGAGATATGTAGCAGGATCGCCCAAGCAATAATAATTTTTAATATACGGGTAAAACTGTGCTGAGGAACAGTGCATATTGTAGCACATTCTCTGGGTTTCCAGCTAATAAATTATCTCTCCAGGTAGTCGTTTTATGGAAACCACACCAACTGCATCGACAAAGGTCCTCCAAGAACTCGATTCTCTACACCCAAAAAGGGCTTGAGGTCCAGAGAACGGTTTTTTTCTCGATGGGCTGTGTTTTCGTAAACCATTACACGAAACAACTGAGCACGTATAGAAAATATTGTTCCGGTCGTTTTACTGATATTGAGGGCAATGATAATGGTGACAAATTGCCCGAGCTGTCTATTCGAATAGCAAACAATTTACTGCCAGGATTGAATGGTATTTAATATTGGGATCATCAACGCAATGGAACCAAAACTGATCCCTTATTCGCAGTGGCAGGATATTGTCACCTATGAACTCTCTATCACGGATGTTGTTGACAATATGTAGGATGTGTAGTTTTGAAAGAACGGACAGAAACTTCCATTGATCTACTAATCAGTCAATGAGCAAGTACAGTACTAGTAACTCTACTTGTTGACCGGATAGTAGGGAACGAACTACCAAAGCACTTAAGATAGGCTAAAAACTCCTTACCGTTATTTTACTTACTGCTTTTCGAGAAATAAAGTCCTATTCGGATATTTCGCCTTTCTTATCTCGAAATTCGAAGTGTAAAAGTAAAAAATATGCCGGATAAAAGTTTGACTACTCAAAAGTTATTTAATATAATCTGATACGCACCAACTGACTTAAGTTTCACGAAAAAACGCTTAATAAATGTCACAATAACTTTGAACAGCACGCACATAAAGCGGATTATTAAGTTTAGTTCAAGGTAATTTGGCACGTGGTGGTAGGATATTCAAAGTTTCGTTGGAGCGTATATCCGGATATAATGATTTGGCAGAGAGGTGCAAGTCGAACTTATTTTCTGCCCCATAAACAGTAAATAAATTCGGGGAGGTTCACCTTTCATCGATTTCGATTATCTCGCAAGTTAATAACAGTGGAAAATATGTCTGGGATATTTCTGTATATTTTTTAAGTCGCGTTAAAAAACGGTCATCCTTTAGGTGCGTTATTGTCCCAAACATATTTTTATTTCTTAATCAACTGAAAATATTTTAATTAATGTTGAGTATAAATGCCAATAAAAGAAAAATAAAAGCATAGATCTTAACAAAAAAGTAAATTGATATTTCTGTACTAAAAATCATATCACTGAAAGTTCCCATTCTTTATCAAAACGGGCAATGATTTTAAGGCAATTTAATGTCAAAAAAACAGTGCTTGTCCTCAAACAAATGTTCTAGTTATACTGCCCTAATATATAAAAATAGCGTCCCAAAAATAATACGAGCGATATCAATTGGCAGACAAACATGATAACAAACCAAACAATCCGGAATTTTTAGACTTAATAGAATGTATAACCGTAAATCCAAGAACAAAAGAAATAATTTTTCTATAATTATATTTTAATCATGATGCCGAGCTTGCCGCTCCATGGCGAATTATGTTTTCATTGCCAACAAGGACAATTGCGGATTGATCCAGTCGCGTTTCATTGCGATTCAGTCCAAAATAATTCGGAATTTTTGATTAACAGGCTAGTGACTACCAGATACGGATTCAAACGTTTACTGAGATGAAGTTGTGCTTTTAAGCCTTTTATTAGTACTATGAGGTCGACTAAACTAGGGAAAAGTTACTCTTTGTGGACCTTTGAATGATTCCGACTGGTTTTTGAGATAAAGTTACATGTAAAATTAGAAACAGTGAAATTGCATGCAATCAGCATGCAAGTTTGATAAACGACATTTTAGGAAACAATTTTAAATCCACTATAATTTCAGATTTATTTATATTAAAATGTAGGAATATTGGTAGCATATAAAGTGCCTATTACCACATTTACTAGCCCGTCAGTTTAAATAGATAACATACTATAATTTTAATAAAAATTGTAATTTTAATAAAAATTGTAATTTTTTATTGTTATGTAATCAAAAACCAAAAATAGGGTCATGTTTTAGCAAAATTATATGGGGTGTTTCAGATTTAGTGAATTAAACTCGGCGTATCAATAGAGCCCAACGAGTAAACAAAATTTTCTTCGGGGACTATAAATCTAAATCTAAATACATGGCCGCATTTAATGAAATTTTGTAAGCTCCTTAAGCTATTGACCAAAGACTGATTTCAATCAACAGTTTTTGTTTGTTTGTGGGAGGCACAGATACTGCTAGATTTTACTGAATTTATATATGGATATTTTCTTGGTTTCCGTTAAAATTTTATTCTTTTATTAGTATAAAACCCGTATGTTGTTAAGACTGATAAAGCGACATTTAAAATTCATTAACACTACACTTAGACACGTTTTTAATATGTTTATCTGATAGCTTAAAATAAATAAATGCAACGACTCTTTGGTAATCTGAATTATTTTGCCCAGCCTTTTGCATACAAAATGAAATACTTTTACTAATATTTGTAAATTTTCCATAAACCATAAAAGTTCCTATAACTGTTCCTCTTTAGCAAGGCTAGGATCGTTTTAAACAAAATTTCGTCTTAAAATACAAACTGGATTAGAGTTTCAAAGACGTCGCCATTTTGTTCAATGCATTTTGGTGCAAATTTAAGGATATTTTAATAGATTTATTATTTTTCTTCCACATAATATCGTGTATCAACTTTTGTATTCTATGGAATGTTTACTAACATTCAAAATATGGAGTGTTCTAAAATGTGTTCAGCATGAAAATTATAACAATTTTGTTAGTTTAATCTCTAATAATAATAAATATTTAGTATGAAAACTAGTTATTAAAAAATAATTAAACGGTAAGTACTCGGAGAAAATCTAGGTCTATTGAAATGAAATTGCCCGATCTTTTAGACAATGTAATTTAAAAAAAAAATAAGTAGATTTTTTTTAAGCTAATAAATCCTAGAAAGAAAAGTAATGTTTGTTATTAAACTAGGTGAGTCTACGAATGCTCAGTCAATTTATTTCATCCTTCAGTAACCTGAACTCATATCCAGAGAGCTTGGAATATATTTGATCTATTTATTGCAAATGTCTTTGTAAGAATACGAAAGTACATAAAACATTGTTGTTTATATTCATCTTGGTGAGTAATTAGACTCAACACTGCCTAATCATTCTAGCCAATTTTTGTGATTTGCATATTATAGAACTTATTACAAAAATAGAGTGATTAGATATACCGATAATTTTTTATTAAATATTGTTCACTTTATTCGAGTTCCAGGTGTATGTATATAGAAAAATAAAATTTTTATACAATTATTTAAGGAAAAGGGAATTGCGGTGAGGTTCTCAGAATTTAGAAATTTTCTATGATTTACGGTAAGATAATACAAAACTAGATGCAAAGATTAGATATACCGATAATTTCATTGTATTGATTGCATAGGAAACAATTTTCAATTGCTTTTTGATAAATATCATTGGTCACTTTATTTGACTTCTATGTGTTATATAAATAAATAAATAATTGTTTAATTAATTTAAGGATTTATTTATAGAAAAACATTTTTCCTCCAGTTACAAGACATTCCTTTAATTTTCTCAAAGTTAGAAAAAATTTAAAAACCAATCTAGTTCTAATAATTGTATGGAAAATTCGGCCCTGGACAAACGTTCCGACGTTTTTCTATATACGGTAAAAATTCTTCAATCCCATCCTATGGCGCCACGGATAAATTAGGAACGACATATCGTGCCCGCTGTTTTCGATAAGAAACGAAAAATGTCGCAGAATTAAACTTACCTCCTGATCGATGTAAAATATTGCTCCAAGAAATCCTTAGCCTGACGTAAAAGATCTTGAGTGGTCCGTATCTCGTTTTTGCCTTGCAGCCCCATGACACTTCCGAGGCAGACCTGAGCCGAACATGGCGTGGCCTGGAAAGACAAAAACGATTTTTCAACCTTTTCGCAGACAGACGTAAAACGCAACACCCGGTTGTGGTTGTCAGTTTGAATTCATTACTAAATATTAATTACTATTATTGATACAAATGATATTTTGTGATTAAATCCTAATTTAAATTTAACGGCAGTCCATAAGCAGTCTTTGTAGATTAGAGAAAAGGGAGATTGAATAAAAAATATTAATATTTTTATATTTCTATGTCAACCATATAAAATCAATGGATTATTATTATTTATTGAATTAAAATTTTCTTATGACTTCCATAAATTAGTGAATAGTGGTGCAAGGTAGTTTGTGGTGTAAATAAAAATTGTTGTTTATTAAGTATTTATACTTTTAGATTCTACTGTTGTTTACTTATTATTAATAATAAATTTGAAATCAAATCCACTTTCTAATAGTAATAATCAATATTCGTGTCAGTTCGAGTGAACGGCTAAAATATGGAACAAATTAATTTCGCATGCATCCATCAGAAGTTTCCCTTACGTATTCTTATCAGAAAATTCAGGGTGGGTCAAAAAGTTGAACATTTCTTTCAATAAAGGAGCTTAATATGAGGGAGATGTGCTAGAAAATGCCCACCATAAACTTAAATTTTATAAAACTTCTGGATTCCTCCTGCGTCGGTTTTTGTTGACGCGAACTACCTAACGTTTCGCCAATCACCCTGTTGGCTTCTTCAAAGCTTGAATAAAACTGAAGAAGCCAATAGGATGATTGGCGAAACGTTAGGTAGTTCGCGTCAACAAAACGTAGGAGGAATCCAGAAGTTTTATAAAAAGTATTACAGTAGCCCGTGGAAGTTTCTTTGAAAAATCACCATTAACTTCTTGAGAAAATGCTACCCTTATATTAATACTATTTAAAAAAAAATCCAAAATATTACTTAGGATATTTTCATTAATTTGTCTTATTTCGTAACCGGTTATAAGTTTTAAACTCTTTAAATTTCGTGATTTTTCCCTATGTACTTTTGATTTTAAATATCCCCAGATAAAAAAATTTAGTGGAAATCTTGTAAACCATTCCATTGATCCCCTTCTACTGTCCAGGAAATACCTCGGTCAACTAAATCGGTTTGTCTGGCATATTAGGCTGATTTGGATGTGGGGAAGAAACTGCGAGAGTAGGAGTTAAATCATCTTGAAGAAATTGTAATTAAAAATAAGTTTAAACAACTTTGTTATTGAAAATCCCTGCCCAAAGATTTTTTTTCTCTCATCAATCGGGGATTATTTGTACTCCAATACCTACAATTTTGTTTATTTACCGCACCATTTAAAAAAAAAAACTGACTTCATCACAAAACTTTATCTGACGATAAAAAAGTGGACGTAAGTCGCACATTTCCATCATCCGTCATTATTTCAAGAAGATGCACGATGGGAATTATACCTAAATTCTAATAATATATAATAATAATATTTAATCGTGTGTTTTCATTAGTTTTTGGACGACCTGGCCATAGACGATGCCCGATTTCTACAAATTTTCTGTGGATCTTGTAGTGATTTTTTATGGATATCTTGCGTTAAAAAAATGCAAACTTCTTCTTGAGTTTTGTCTCCATATCTAATAAAATTTAAAAACCCAATTCTCTAACTTCCAATTAGATGCGCCATATCGTCAGAAATTTAATTGTACCAATTTGAAAACTTTGCTGATAATTGCTACTTACCTGTTCATTTCAAAATTAAATTTCTATTTTTTGTTCTTTTGCTCGTAAAAGTAAGGGATGGGCGTAAAATTTAACGCAGAATTCGAAAATGGATTTGCAAAATGGTGTTTCATTTAAGAAAGGGAACTTGGTATCGACATCTACCTGTTTACCCACCCTGTATATTTGCTATTTAAGAGCAATCCAATACTTAATTTTTAAATGACTTTGTTCCATATTTTAGCCGGCCACTGTATTTCGTAATTCATTGAATATAACATAAGTATATTAATTAAGTATTTATTTTTTCTTATATTTATATGTATTTTAGATTCTTGATAAAGATCCACAGTATGATCGAAACGTTGAATAAAACATGAAAATTTAAAATATTTTGCTATTATTGAACAACCTCAACTCAAGAACAATTCAAGCAATATATGAAAACCGAAAAAATTAAAAAATATATATCAAATCTACGAAAATTGTTATTTGCGCAAATCAAAATGTTGTCAAGATAAGTTAAATACATGGTAGAGGTGACAATGTCCACAGTACATACTATGTACATACGTGTACAAATATAAGTAAATTTGAGCAGGGCGCAACATTATAGCATAAAGAAACATACAAAGGTAGCGAAATAATCTAAATTCGTTGGATACAGCTTCAAAAAACCATTCGATTACAAGTTGAGCTCCTGTTGGCATGAGTAGGGAATAACTTTTGGTGGTCAGCTTACGAATTATCCAGCATAAACAAACTCACTTAATTTGTGTGTAATCCCACCGGACCATGTTTGCTTTGCTCTCGGTTTTTGCGTTAAATAAATGTCTGCTCTATGTATATGTATATATGGAGAAAATTTCATTTGCATATGCAGAGATTACAACTTTAGGTAATATTCCAATTAGGACCATCTTAACTTTGAGATGTACGGTGTGTCCAAAATTCAATAGTACGGGATGGTTTTCTAAAAAAATTAAATGTTTTTCTTATGAACATGGGTCCGGAAATGCACAGTTTCAAGGTACATGAAACAGTCATGGTTTGTTTTCGAAAAAAAAAATTATATAATTAATTAATTTTAATCTAGTTAAGGATAAGTTAGTATCATACACTATACTTATACTATACTACTACGATTAGAATTTGCTGCAAAATAGAGACATGAATGTATCGATTGTTCTTTGAGGAAACGAAACAAGATACGAAAAAATTGAAGAGACTAAAAAGTTGCACTGTTAGTACATTCGTGCTACATACTGGTTCCACTCTTTTCTCTTCGGCATCGTACGATATCCTGTACCTTAGAGAGAGAGGTCCCTTATTTGATTGTCCAATCCCATATTTTTCTTTCTGCAACTAACAATCCTCAAAAAACCTGATATATAGGCTGCATGTTATCTTGCTTCGGTACACTTTTCTCTAATTCTCCCAGATAATGCAATCAATTTGACACCTAACCAAATCATTGTTTGCTAATTTTGCTTGCGTAACTAGCAAATCACTATATTGATGTACCAACGCCATTTATCCACTTCCCTTGAACATGGACTGTGACTGAAACACCCTGTACGTTAGTACGTATAGAAAATTGCTATTTGATGGCGCGCTAATTAATTTCTACAAAAACGCGTCTAACTAAAAACCGAAAATGTGCGGTTTTATTGAAAAACAACGCGTTAACACGTTTGCGGGACATCGTTAATGTGTGTGACATTTTCCAATTTTATTGCGTGGAATTATGAACGTACACCGTTTTATGTTCAGATGCAAAACATCGCGGTTAAAACCAATTTCATTTTTTATGGATGCGGTGTAATTACAGATTAAAAATTGCGTGAGTGACACCAACGCGATTTATAGAGCCGCCGACTTTGGTTAGGCCGATGTCGAAAGATTTTTATTTAAGCTTCACCTACGTGGTGTTTCCTAATTTGTACTATATAGAGCAACAAATTCTACTCACTGTTAGTAGATAAAAAGATGCTAATGGTCAAATTTTCAATTGGACTAATTTTAACAATTTTAAAATGTGTATAAAGAAACAAAAATTTGCATACTTTAATGTTTAAACACCTTTTCGGAATCATGAGCTTGTGCCTAGTTCACAATATTATATGAACGAAATGAGTACGCTGATACCTAGTAAAAAGCAACTAGAAGAACTCTTTGTTTAGCTTGCTGCAGACACTATCTATGTCCTCCACCCACCCCAAGGAGAAATCAATATAAGAAACAAGAAACTGAATGGTAAGCCTGGTAAAGGTTTGATATACTGACCAGTATATTCAAACGCAACTGTTTTCTCAAAGTTTACAAAAAATTGGTTTTGCTTACACAATTCATTAAACTCTGTAAGGACGTCATTCATTTATTCATCAATCCTTCTGCATCTTTTCCATAGAATAAAACGGATGTGTCTTCGGCATACATAAAGACACGGCAGGCATTGTTTAGAAATTCGGACAAGTCAGTCAGTGAGAAAAAAAAGTAACGGACTCCTAATTCCTCTTTCGGAAGTGATCAGGTTGCATTTCATTTACTTTACCTGTTATTTTTTTGGCTCATATATGATAAGATCCATTCACTGAAAGGCCCTCTTTGGACAGAGCATTTTTTTGCCATATAATGGCAAAAAAATGCTTATCACAAATGTGTTGGACGAATTTATTTGTCCCATATTTATTAAATGCCCTTTTTTAAATACAGACGCCATTTTAGACGGTAATTAACCATATAAAACAGGTAAATTCATATCGCTACACAATTTTATTAAATTTTGGGGATTTAAAGTTGATAGAGATCTTTCGAAATTGACTAATAGGTGGTAGAGGTATTTCATCAATTTCGAAAGATCGTTGGTTTTTCAGTGAGTGCAGTTAAGGAAAGCCCTCTCTGATAGGTGGACATGTATCAGTCTCGTTTATACTCAACAGAGAATCAACTTTTAATTGTAATGAGTGTTTTTTTTTTCGATGTATAGAACTTTAAGTTGGCATTACTGTTCAAGATGGCGACCGATTTAACAGCTGTCAAGTGATTTATTCGCAGTTTGGTTTCGCAATTCATCATGAATAGACTCACGCCTGAACAACGCTTGCAAATAGTGCAATTTTATTTCGAAAATAATGGTTCTGTGTGTTATGGTATGGACGTATCGCGCATTACGTCCATTTTATCGTCGACAAAATCGTCCATCAGAGCAGTTAATTCGATTAACCATGGAACGTTTTCGCACCGCGTTTACTTTTATTGATAACTCGCATCCCTAGAGACGCCGTACGGTGCGTACAGAAGAAGCTA